CCCAAAAAAAACCTCCTGTCAAGAAAAGGATAACCAAATAGTTTAAAAGATTGACTGGCAAAAGATAAATTGGTTGTGATGTAATAAAGTATTTACTAAAGTAATAAATTTTTAAAAATATTTATCTTCAAGAGGAAAAAGATAATGCACCAAACAAACTAAACTTGCAAGAAAAATCCTAAACTTAGTTACCTAAAAATATTGTGAAGGTCAAATTATTTATCCAAATTGCTTAGAAAGAGAAGAAACTAAATCTTTTAAAGATATGACCTAGGCTTATTCAAAAAAAGATGGCAGGGATGGAAGGGCATATGCCTTTGGTGTCCCCACCAGTCAAGAATTGGGACCTCACATCACTAGCCGATATGCTTTCTCTCATGCTTTACTTCATTCATGGTTCGATAAATGGTGTCCTAGGCATAGATTATACAAATTTTTTTAAAGCAAATACTTTTGTTATTTTAAATCCTTTAAAAGCAATTGATAAATTGAAATATACAGAGATATGAATAATCATGCCACTGTCGTCTCTTTCCATACACCATAGCACACCCCATGGAAAGGCCTCCAATAAAATTGTCCCTCACAGCTTTACTCCCGCCAAAAAACATATCTTGGTGCTGTTATTGATGTTTTAAGCAACAAATCTGGTAAAATTTTCCTTTTCCGTCATGATCCATTTCCTCAAGTTCAATTCATATGTAGTTCTTACCTTCCCAAAAACCAACCTTCATTCGACCTCCCACATTTAGTCGTCATCACTATCCGCCATAATATGTTCTCTTATGTTCAAATTTCCCAACTATTCCTCTAAAGATGTCCTATTGAAATATGGACAATGTTCGTATCTCTTGCCCCCACCCATTGCTACGAATGCTAATTTTTTTTTTCCAATCTACCAAGTGGTACTTATTCTTCCTTTCTTCCCGCTCCACAAAAATTCTTTCATCATCCTCCTGGGCATGCTTTGAAAAGGATTAATTTCAACAATGTCATTTTTTACTTTTTATTTTAGTAATGGTGATATCTAGGCACCTGTGTGCACCTTCATTAAATCACTGTATCTGCTACCTCTTAAAATCATAGGTAACGAATAATTCTATCTACTAAGACTCGGACAAATGGGAAGAAATCACTTAACGATTTCTTCTTCGCTCGGCTAGGATTTGAACTCTGGTCTCCCATGGTTCATTCTAGCTTCATTGACCACTAGGTCACATCCTAGGGCGCAATGGTGATAAGTATGAAAAAATTTACTTTGTGCCTCACACAACCGACATTAATTGTGTGAGGCTTCTTTTTGTCTCACAAGTTGGTGGACCCAAAGTTTGTAGACCGAAAAGTGTAAGGTTTAGGTCCACCAACTTATGAGACAAAAAAAAGACTCACACAACTAGTTTCAGTTGTGTGAGGCACAAAATAAACCTTTTCGATAAGTATCGTCTTTTCTAATGATTAGATATGAAATGTGTATCCATGTTCATGTTTCTGGGTATGTTCAAAATCCATCCTCTCAAGCAAATGTATCAAAAAAAATTCACAATTGCAGTAAGCATGAGTCCAACTTACACAAATTCCCAATTGCTTTTAACCTCCTCTATAGGAACATAAGCAATTACTTAATAGACTCCTTTTTTGTTAAAACAACAATATTTTATAGACATTCTCTACCAAACTAACAGAGCAAGACTCTTTATATCTCCTTGGCCCCATTCTTCCAATAGAGCAAAATGAAAATGAGCTAACACTCTTCTAAAAAGTACCATTCATGAAAATAATAGATGCAAAGACTCTTTATATGTCCTTGGCTCAATCTTCCAAATGAGCAAAATGAAATGAGTATAACCTTTCTCAAAAGTACCATACATAAAAATAATGAACGCATCCTATCACATCATTGTCCATTAATTCCCAGAAACGAAGGAAAAAGACCATCATAAACCCATAACAACCCAGAACCTTACTGACCTCGCTAGTCCCTGCATCAACTCTCTTCTTTATCAAAGGTCTATCAAATGCTACGCTTTCATCCCTACTAATCCTCTGAAATGTTACTTTATCCAGGGTTGGCCTGTAATTCTCCTCCTCGCTAAATTGCTTGGTAATGACTGACTACTCAATCGTTGAGTTCCCATTCCCTGAAGTTATATATTACTCCCTCCGTTTCAATTTATATGACACACTTTACTTACTACTTTGTTTCAAAAAGAATGATACATTTTTATATTTGAAAATAATTTTTTTTTTTTGAGATGGTAACATATCCAATATATTAATAAATTTAACTTTAAACTTTTGAAAACAATTTAACTTTAAACTTTTTATTTTTACCTATTTTTCCCCTATTGAGAAACTTTTATAGCCACACAAATATCATGACCCCACAAAGCTTTTAGGACCACGAGATTCAAAAGTCTTTTTTTTTTTCCTTAAACTCCATGCAAAATCAAACTACCTCATATAAATTGAAACGGGTCAACTTGTATCTTCAAGGTGCATTAGGAAGAATATTACACAGTTAATTTTTGTCCTTCCAATTCCTCCCTTATGAGCTTTCTCCCCAAAAGTGCCCTCCTATCTCTTTTCCTTCCAACAATGCTTTGTTAGTCTCTAATATCCTGAAACCTCATGTTTACATCTCCTTGGGAAATGCATATGCCAAGATTTTCAATTTATGTAAATGTTAAAGATTGATAGGAATTTATTCTATGCTCTATAAAAGACTTATTATATTAACTGTACACCCCTCCAGGGTAGGGGTAAGATATGCGTACACTCTACCCTCCCCAGACCCCACTAGTGGGATTTAACTAGGTTGTTGTTGTTGTAGTATATTAACTATACATTTTAAGTATTTTCTTATTTGGGTAATTACGCATACTATGACTCGTATACATTCAGCTCAATCACAATAAACAATGGACAAATCA